AGCGCAAGGTCGTGAGTTCGCTTCCCGATATGGGAGAAAAAAAAAAACAAAAAAAATGCAATACAAAAACAAAGAGCAAAATAAATTATGTGTAATAAGAAGTACAGACATCTTTTCAAAGTGGGAAAAGATCACGAAATGGAAGAAGCAGAGAAAGAGAAGAGAGGTGTAAAAAGAATTAAAATGTGTTATGTGCATGGACCAACTTATACTAAAAGTAGTAATTATGCACTGCAAAGACGTACTAATAAATTCAAATATTAAAAAAGAAATGTAAGAGAGGTACTTGTAGCAAGAGACTTTCAATGAAATAGTCAAGAAGACTTAGACAATATCATTAAAATTATGATATATGTCATTAACTGAATGTATTTTTGTTTAGTTTTTGTACTGCAGATGGAATCCAAGACCTTTCGCTGAACTACAACCAGGGCCTTCTTTTTCTTTCAGATTTTGAGGCAATACCCTGCTGAACTGCAAAATTACTCAGGCTGAATTTGATCGTGCAACTCTCCCAGAGTACTGAGATTGCAGTGGTGTTCCACCACACCCAGCTTATTAGCTGTGCTTAAAATAGAAAATGTAAAGAGGTACCACTAAAACATATTTGAATTATTGTTGTTATGATCCATGATTAAAAATTTACATTGGATATCATGGTCAAATAGCTTTGAAATGCACAAACTTCTCAGAACATTATTTTTTCAAAACATTATCTCTCTCACTATGTTTGTAGCTCTTTATGTAATGTTCATGGATGATACAAACTTTAGAATCCTTTAAGCTCAAATTAGCACGTCAGGAGCAAGCACACCCTTAATTTCCCTGAAATTTGCAAGTTGTAAAACTTATTTTCCTCCAGATTTCTTGTTTAAGGTTCTAAACTTCTACACAGTGACTCATGTAAGTTATTGAACTATTCTGAAATAGTCTGAAAGAGTAAAGGGAAATAACCTGGTAAGCATATTTAAGAACCATGAAAAGATTTGTGACTAGAGTAATGCTGGTTTACAATAGTGTAAGAGAAAAATTTCACAATTTAGACTTTACTTATTAATATATTTGAGACTGCCTTTAAACTTATGTACCTGTGTGTGAAAAGAAATCTATGTAAATATAAATACAAATTATAACATAATGTGCATTGGAAAACTTGTACAAATATATAATGATATGAAGTGTATAGATAACATATATATTTGAGCAGTATTTTTTTTTCCAGGACCCAAACTCAGGACCTTGCGCTTGCCAAGCAGGTACTTGAGCAGTATTTTAAAGTAGTCATAATGAGGTCAAATTTCAATATTCAATAATAAAGAAGAATGAAAGCTTGTAAATTACTAGATGTTACAGGAGACCAAAATTATAACAATTGTGTTTTCCAAACTTGAGGGAAAATGACAATGTGTGCTGTACAATCCTGAAAGAGTTCATGCAATATTTTTAGTAAAAAATAGAGATTTTTAAAACAATTTCAATTTTAAGTGCATGAAATATCATTTCTGAAAACACTTTATTTGATAACATTAATTTGAGGTCGAGTGAAAATGCAGCAGGTAGATATTTTGTTACATATACTTGAGGGATGGTGGTAGGAATATAATTCAGTTTCTTCATTTTTAGTGGAGATATTTGTTAGGATTTTTCCTTCAATGACCAGAACATGAACACTAATGGATTTTGCTAATTTATATCAAGCATGAAATCTGTGTGAAGCATGAAAAAGATGGTGATATTGCTGTCCACTCCGTAGAGATCTTATTGGAATTCTTAAGTTTCCAGAAAAGCCACTTTTCATAGATTTTACAGAATGTAACTGTGAATGCTATTAAAGAATGAATATAAACAAATTGCCTGCTTACTACACTTTTCCATCTATGATTACTTTCAGATTTCCTAGAGTAAACTCTCTATATACTGCATAAAATAAATCCAACAGCTATGTTTTTTTTTTGTTTTTTTTTTTTTTTTGGTTTTTGGTTTTTCTCCGGTACCAGGAACCGAACTCACAACCTTGCGCTTGCCAGGCAGGCGCTTTTGCCGCTGAGCTAAATCCCCAGCCCCAATCCAACAGCTATGGTATCTGTGTACTGAGGTGTACTGTCACTTAAACTTTCAAAGTTTACCATTGGTGGTATACTCTTACCATTTTGGCAAAATCTTACATGAATTCTTACTCGTAATAGCTAATCGGTATTTTGCAAGTGTATGCTTGTGTGTATAAGGGCAAAATATAACTGAATTTTCTAGACATCTGTTTTTCATGAAAATCATTGGCTTCCTTGCCTTAGAAGATAATACCTTAATTGTGGTTTCCTACTCTTTTTATTTCTCTTTGCTTCACTATCACTAGGGTAATTTAAAGATTGCTTTTACAATAAAAGAGAACCAGAAAATGTTATCAACCTTGCAAGAGTCTTAATATAGTCATTGTAAAGGAATAGAAAAATCACAGCAAAGTAATTGCAAAATACAACTAAGAGAAATGTAAAGCTGATATAAGTTAAAGAAAACATAGAGAGAGAAAATATCAAAACCATTTAGAAACCAAAAAGACCAATGGTTAAACATAAAAGACATATAAGGAGAATTTTGCCTTTAGGAAACACAGTTTTTTGATGAGTGATTTATTTATGTAGCTATTTCTAAGATTAACAATGTCTATTCTTACTTAAGAACTTAAAATAATGTCAGAAATATCAAATAAAAATCAATTGATCTGAGAAAATAAGTAACTTTATAAAACCTGACTTTTGGTTTTATATGTATCTGATTATTCTCTTTTGCCTATGTTTATTTATTGGAAAAAAATTCAATGTTATCTGTTTTAAAATTTATTAAACAAAGTTAAGGTCTTATACTAATCAACATGTGGCTTTAAAAAATTTCGATCATCCAAATGTTCACAGATTCACAGTGTTTGCAATACTTTCAATGTCTTTTACATTAAGTATATTAAACATTTTGTACAACAGAATTAACTTTTAAATATTTTCTATAATTTAGTAGAGAGAAAAATGTTTTCCTGTTTCTTGAACTTGTAAGTACTAAATTCTAATAAGATTTGGAATATAATATAACAAATGTATACATGCTGGAATGATATTTCTAACTATCAAGCGGTTGATGCAGGGTTGAAGTAGAAGTAATTTTCAAGGAGTTGCAAAGATCACAGTTGAAGGCTTTTAAAGGTTAAAGTTGTGCTTGGAAAGGAGATCAAAATAAAAGTGGTAAATAAATCCTTAAACTGTAACATAGTTATTAAAATTAATTGTACTATTATCCGATTTTAAATTATCTAGTTATGCAACTTAGTATTTCTATGATTTCTACATTTTACTTAACTGTACTTTCTTCATTATTAGAAAAAAACCTGGATCCCATAAACATCTAACAGCAACTCTAAAGTTTTAAGAGTATACACAATTTTTCCGTGTGAATGCCATTATAAAAAAGGTCATAATTTTCCTACAAGATGCTGACACACGCTCTTTTGCACACAGACCAGACTTTGATTTGTCATTTTCAGAAGTTAGAAAATATATATCTATTCAAGCATATTGTCATTTAAAAGCGAACATTTGGGGCTGAGGATTTAGCTCAGCGGCACAGTGCCTGCCCAGCAAGCTCAAGGTTGAACGTTCGATTCCCAGTACTGGAAAAAAAAAAAAAAAAAAAAAAGCAAACATTTTCCTACATTTTTAATCTATAACAAAAAAGTTCTTTTCAGAACTCTTCTCATTACTTTTCTTCACTTTTTCTCGTTTTCATGCTTAGTATGATGCTTTGCTTGCTGTTTTTACTTAGCATATCCAAATCCTACATTTCTTTAACACATAATATCCAAACTGACCTTCCTCAAAAATTTTGGTCTGCATAATAATACTTCAAACAATTCTGTTGCTCTCTGTATATGTTTTATGTTTCACTTATTAATGCCAGTTGGATTTCTCCCTAATGGCTCTAAATGTTAAGTGCACTGATTATTTGAAATTTCTTTGCTTAGGTACATAAATTTTTTGGAATTTAGTTTTAAATTCTTCAGTCATATTTTGATAGGTAATAACACATCTACATTCACTGAACTACTCAATAGACATTGTATAATATTATATATACAGAAAATATTCAATAATTATTGTGTATTTTTCCTAAAACAAAATAGTGGAATTATTCTATTGTACACTCAAGTGTAATTAAAGTTTAATGAATTAAATTGGAAGTTTATGAAAGAAATATTCCTCAAGTAAATTCAATTTTATTAAAAGTGCTTGCTACAGAAATTCAAAGAGGGTCAACAGGAAGAACGAATTCCAGTGCTTTGGGTCATTATGATATGACAGTGTAGGTGCACCCGTTACACGAAATGTGCCATTCAGGTGAGGAATATTTATAATGGGAAATCTACTTGTGTGTTATGAGTATCTTGGAGATATCCATATTGTCAGATATTTTTGCTCTGTTTAACGATTGATATAGAATTCCTGAAATACTATAAAAATGGAAATATAATTTAATTATATGAAATTTAAACACTTTCAAATAAATTGTAAGAGCTCTGTTTGTGAGGTAAACTATTAATAAGATTAAACAATACAATTTTTATTTGTTGTTTAAAATTCTTACATCTGGTAAATCTGACCAGTATAAATGCAATAAAATGTGTGTTTAATATATTTAGATTTAAAGAAATACTTCATATTAACTACTGCTTCTGATGCATAACAACTTTCCTTTTAGAATGAAAGAAAGTTGACGTATGAGTTGGAAAAATTTCTTCAAAATAAAAATGTGAAACATTGAAGGTTAATGCATCAATCAGCTAGTTTAGTTTCTAGAATCTTTACTGTCAAGAATCAAGTATAAAATCATTTATGGTTCCTGCAAAAATGCTTTGTATATATTACATGTTTTCACCATATTTAATTTATTTGTATAGCTATATTTGAACCACCAGAAAAAGTTACTAATATAAACTGTAAATTATATATGAAACTTACATGCTTTGTGAAATTTTTGTTTAACATCATGAACAGTAGATGATTGTGTCACCTGAAAAAAGATGAGAGACATAGGAGGAACTATAAGCCAAATGTTAATGATTTTATTCTCTGTTTTATGAAGAATATATTACTATATTTATAAAACATAGAAATGTTACAAAATAGGCATATTTTTGGTTAGCTTCTACTTAATATTATTTTTATGAAATTGACACATTATAATTAAAATAATTTGAAATATGCTTCATATATAGCAAAAATGGTACTATTATGTAAGTTCAACCAAGTTTCTATTTGTAAAATATATATATTGAATTTTTTCTGTCCATATATTTAGCTTCATTTAACAAAACTCATTAGACAATTAATGAAAAGTGTGACTTAATGCACAGCAAAAAGAAAGGATGTGTGTCAAGATGCCTGAGGGAAAACTTGAATGCTCTAGGCATTACAAGGGAAGTTTACTTCAGAATATCAAGACATGAAAATCCTCTACGGAAACTCCACCATTATGTTATTAATACACCGTAAACATATTCTAAAGGTCCATTAAATTACGTACAAAATGTATTATTCGTTGCATTCTTTATGTACATAAGACAGTTTTTTCAAACTTTTCATTATCAGCTACTAAATATGCTGTTTCTAAATTAGAAAAAAATGAGTAAAAGTGTTTTATTGATATACATTATAAAAATACTGAGGATGATAGCTCTAGTAAAGCACCTCAAATCTTCATAATCCTCCTTGACTTTTCACTAAGTTTGCAAACTGAAATTCCACTCCACATTTTAGCCCTCCCCATTGTTTATGAAAAACCCAGTGCATAACAATCATTTCAGAAAATGTATTTCCTTCCCCTGAATAGATATAGATTATTGATGAAATATATGACGAACATGTGTATATGTTTTATTTATAATTTTAGTTAAATAAAAATTTCTTATGACTATTTAAATGGAAAATATTTTAAAAATACACAAAAAGCTTATAACATAATATTTTTCCAGGAAATTTTCAAAATTATCTTACTATATATAATTTTTAATATTCTAAATTCTAAAAAGAATACATTTATTTTCAAACTCTCTTTAAAGAAACTGTGACCAATGATGAATTTACATATTACATGTATATTATCAGATATTATATTTCATTCATGTTAAAATTGTAAGATATAAGCCCTGGAAAATGCTATTCATTTTCATTTGTGTTTTGCTATACAAAAATGATTTTACTTCAAAGCATTATGTGAGTATGAAAATTTTAAATATTTTTAAATTTTTATAAATTTTGACATATTTGTATTATAGACATTATGAAATATATATGAAATATTTATAAATTTTGAGTAAATGATATGATAGCTATTCTTTGAAAAGTTTCAAGAGCAAATATATATATAGATATAGAGATATAGAGATATATACATATATGTATATATACACATATATACATTTTTTTTTTCCGCAGTACTTCACACTCACGACCTTACACTTGCCAGGTAGGCACTTGAGCTGCTGAGCTCTTTTCTCAGTCCCTAAGAGAGCAAATATATTTACACTTGTGAATATTATATTTCATTTGAGTTTTGATTACTAACCTTGAAAACTTACATCAATTACCTAAGTATGGTTTGTTTCAATGTTGTTCATTGTTTTCTTTCAATATTACTTACATATTTAGCACTTTTATATGTTGATTCCTGCCCTAAAATTCCTCTGTGTTTTACCCTATTATGCCCCCACACACACACACCTCATACCAACCACTAATTAGTCTCCGTTAGTGTTGCTTCTTCCAGAAAATGAGATCGTAGCACATTACAGTAGCTAGCTATTTTATATTGGATTTTCTTTTTTTTTTTTTTTTTTTTTTTT